AGATGTGTATACTGGAAAACAACAATGCTGTGGGAAACAATGGCTGGATCTCAGTAGAGATACAAAAATGATAAGCAACAGCTAAAAAGTAAACGTAAGTAAACAGCCAGAAATAGAACCAGAGCTTTCGGACAACATATATATTTACTTTTTATATATTTTAGGGGTCAATATGAGACAGTTCTACTTCTAGTTTTGATCCCTGTGATGGTCTAATTTCGCAATTTATTCACCTGAAAGTCTAATATAATCAAATTTTAAGAATATAATATAAGAATAAAATCAAATCTTAAGAATATAATAATTTTTCATATATATGTTTTCTTATGACCATTACGAAATAAATGTTACTGAGAGAGAAACACAATTTATTTTCAATCAACGGTTCAACGATGTACGTTCAACAACTACATTTTCAAAAACCAAAACATGTCAAAAGGTCAAATTACTAATGTATGAAAGGCGCAAAGAGCATTCAAACCAAAATTATATGATGCCCTCTCTCGTATTGATTTTCTTTTTAACAGAGCCTAACATTTGCTAGGCCTACGTCTTGTATGAAACCAAACCTACAGTATCTTTTATTGATTTTATGGTATACCCTAATGGTTTTGTTATATTATTTTTAAAAATATCTTATGGTTATGGATATTGAATTTTAAATAATACAAATTGAAAAACTCCCAATATTAGGGCCACTTGACAAAACATTAATTAATGCGGAATGATCGATCGGGACAGCAGACGCGTGCGTTGATCATTGTGTTACCAACGCGTCTGATTAGTTTCAACTGCGTTCGCACGCTGGCGCCCATATCTGCTTTTGCCAGGCTTTTACCATTCATTCGTTAGCAACAACAGGCTTTTATACGCTTCAACGCAGCAGTTGGGCGTTATGACACAATAAACCGTTGGATGTTAACTCATTAAATATCTTTAAAATTAATAATGTTCCCCTGATTGGATTTTTTCGGACTTTTAGTATGTTATTGTGTATATTTTATGAACAAATTCCGTAAAAATTATTTATGTTGAAATTAGTTCTAGGTTCACTATGATTTTGTCATACTGTAAGAGGAATTGAGGTGCCGAAAATAGATGCCAGCATTGATCTCCTGATTGGAAACAATATACCAGCAGCATATGCCACAAGAGAAGTGAGGACTGAACTGCAAGGCAGTCCCTATGCTACCAAGACTCCTTTAGGATGGGTAGCGTGGGGAGTTATGAAACCTGGAGTTCCAAGTGCAAGTCATTGTACCAACTTGGAGAAGATTTACATTGAATGTCTAAATTATGACTTTCCTGAGAGAGATATAGACGACAAGAGGGAGTGGTCGACTGAAGACAGGGAATTTATGAGAATTATGGAAAATTCCTGTAAGATTGTCGAAGGGTCATTATCAAGTAGACTTGCCATTAAGGAATCCAGCAGTCCAGCTTCCGGACAACTTTCAAATGGCGAGTAATCGACTACAGGGACTAAAGAAGAAGATGGAGAAGAATCCACAGTTCAAAGAAGACTACATCGCCTTTATGGAAGATATAATTGGTAAGGGCTACGCGGAAGAAGTATCTAATGGCGACAATACAAAGGGGGGGGGGAAATCGTGGTATATTCCTCACCATGGGGTGTATCACCCTCAGAAAAGGAAAATTAGGGTGGTATTTGACTGTGCGGCAAAGTTTATCTTATGAACAGCCTACAGGGGTTTTAATGCGCTTCCGTCAATATTCAGTAGCAGTCTCAGGAGACATCGAGACTATGTTCTATCAAGTAAAGGTGCCAGCAGAACAGAGGGACTTGCTGAGGTTTTTGTGGTGGACCAAAGGGGACTTCAGTCATTAACCCAAGATATTCAAAATGACAGTACACCTGTTCGGTGCTGGATCTTCGCCATCGTGTGCCAATTATGGGTTGCAGAAAACCGCAACAGAGAACAAGTGTGAGGTTAGCATAAATGCTGTAGAAACGGTAAAACGGGATTTCTACATGGATGACGTATTGAAATCCGTAGAAACCATAGAAGAAGCCAAGAATTTGGTCAATGAATTGAAAAACTTGTGTAATGAAGGAGGCTCCAATCTCACAAAATGGAAGAGTAATCGTCGAGAAGTGTTGGTAAATATACCTGTCAAAGAGTGAGCAAAGGAACTGAGGGATTTGGATTTTATGCCTCACCACTACCAATAGAAAGAAGTTAGGCATCCTTTGGAGTCCAGAAGTTGATGAATTCCAGTTTCGAAGTTTGCTAACGGAGACTGAAGCAACCCGAAGAGCCATGCTATCAGTTATTAGTTCAGTTTATGATCCTGGATTTATCTCACCCCTGATCATACCAGCAAAAATGCTTTTGCAGGAGATGTGTAAGAAGAAGGCTGGATGGGATGACAAACCAGATAACACCACCTTAGATAAATGGAAACAGTGGACCCAGAACATAAAGGACATACACGATGTTAAAATTGATAGGGGTGTTATGTTCCAGGAGGATATGGAAAGGTGGCAAGTAGAGAATTACATGCATTCAGTGATGCAAGTGACGTGGGTTATGGGGTTGTTATATAGATCTCAGATCCAAAAATGAGAGAGGAGAAGTGCATGTATCCCTTGTGTCCTCGAAAGCCAGAGTGGTACCTCTGAAAAAGGTAACCATACCCAGATTGGAATTGACGACTGCCACTCTGGCAGTCAAGATGGTGCATGTAGTGACCACGGCGGTTTCAATATAGACAATAAGTAGTGAGCCCTCTGTTGGTCACTATTATACATTTTAGATATTCTCGTAGTTGGGGGCGCTAACGCTGAAGCGATATTTTCATTATTCTCCATGTTCCGTAGTAGTTCCGTAGTATAACATAGGTACGATGTCATGGCTCCTGATTTTACGTGTGAGTATTTGAATTTATTCCATGTTTTTCACCCAAAACTTAAGAAAATCTGGCATGTAAAGTTTACATGGCTATAAATAATTTTTGCAAATTTTTGAAACATTGCCACTTGCTCCATGTTATTACTATTTCACTTCTGCATTATCCTCTAAAAAATCTCTCTGACAACTGTTCCGGTAAAAATTTTGGCGCTAATGCACTTTAGTACTGTAACACTTCTATCTTCAAAAATAGTATATTTACCTACTGTGCACTACTAACAATATCTTACAATGATTTTTCATCCAGTTCTGCCACTAACAACGCCAGATTTTAGCATTTTATTACTAGATCCACGGCTTTCAATGCCTAAACTATAGTTCCATCCGGCGCTAATGCACTTTAGTACTGTAACACTTCTATCTTCAAAAATAGTATATTTACCGGGTACCTACTGTGCACTACTAACAATATCTTACAATGATTTTTCATCCAGTTCTGCCACTAACAACGCCAGATTTTAGCATTTTATTACTAGATCCACGGCTTTCAATGCCTAAACTATAGTTCCATCCTGCGCTAATGCACTTTAGTACTGTAACACTTCTATCTTCAAAAATAGTATATTTACCTACTGTGCACTACGAACAATATCTTACAATGATTTTTCATCCAGTTCTAGCGTCAAGCGTCAGATTCTGAACTTATCTGTAGAGCGATGAGAAGTTCTATGTCTCGTG